TAAATCAACAAGAGAGTTGTTAGAGACTTAGCTGTCTATTCGACAACAAATCACAAATCAACAAATTCGTTCTGCATTAGGCATTGGAATGAGTCAGGTGCAAAAGATATTGCATCTGGAGGTTCGGAAACTTTGCACTCGATGGATACCGCATAATTTAACGGAATACCAGAAACGACTGCGTCTAATGTGGTGCCGTAAAATGATAAAAAAGTTTAATGGAGGATAATAATGGGCTTTATACATAATATCGTGACAGTTGATGAAACCTGAGTGTACCACTTTGAACCGGAAAGAAAAAGCCAGTCCGCAGAATGGATCTTTCCTTTTGAAGATTTGGCGACGAAAGTTACGAATAGTCGAAGCATTGGTGTGAAAATGGTTGTTTCTTTCTTCGGCGAATCAGTACATTACACTACTGTAGCGCTTGACGACCAAAGGACAGTGACTGCAGATTGGTATGTATTTACATACCTACTTGCCCAGTGGGAGAAAAAGTTCAATTTCGTCCTTCGTCACGACAATCTTCACATTCTGCTAATGTTTGAAGGCCTCAAATGCCTTGCACCATGCGACTTCTACTTTTATTGGAAGCGGCGGCGGCCATTGAAGAGGTCCGTACGGAATACTGGTCCCACTGCTTTTCACAATGATTCCAACGCATGCAAAAATGTGTTAATAGTAAGGGCATATACTTTGAAAAACAAAAAATCTATTATAAACAAAATATCTGGTCTTACTTATCAGAATCCAGAAACTTTCGGTATGGCCTAAGTAAATCTGGACAAATGAAGGGTTATCCTAAATAATCTGTCTATTGTATGCATATGAAGCGCTCTGTACGTGCTGGGCAATGGTTTCCTTTAAGGAAAATAAACATTCTAAAGGTTCAGGCGATAAGTCTTACCTATTTCTACCGCCAAGCAGTAATGCGAGTTTTGAAAAGCAAAGGGTGCTGGTGATATTACATAGGAACGTGGCAATTATCAACTATCTCAGGATGATGGGCGCAGTGGCAATGCGCCACTCAGAGAGCTTTAGCCGCAACTAACAGTTTGAACCGTTCTTATCGTTAGCGGAATAGACTGCATTTTTGAATGTATACCGATACCCTACGACTACGCATATAATTTCCGGTTACATAATGTGCCTCGTAACATCTACACTTGCTTACACAGCCAACATTTTTAAAATTCAATTTAACGATATTGATTACCTAATTCATATTTGTCAATAATCCAATGTTTTGTCTTTGTCTTTGTTATTGCGATAGACAATGACAAATATATTGACAGCAGATATATCCGGTATGAGCAGAGTATGTGACCGATAACACGAAGCCAAAAATTAACATTTATACATACGCTCTATGAAAATCAATGCATGATTTAAAATTAAAACTCTTTTAGGTTATTTCTAGTTTAACGTTTATCAGAATTTTATTTTCTAGGTCTATTTACTTGGTTGATCAGTAAAATCTGCCACTCAAATAGGTACTAAAGCACATCACTGAGACGAGTCGAAGTAGCGAGAGATTGGTTGAAATTTTAGCAAAGATGATTGTGACGAAAAACAATAAAAAAAATGTTAAACCGCCGTCCTTATCTTTTTTCATCCATGTAAGCACAACTGCTGAACACCTGAAAAGTTTGTGAATAAATTTCAACATGCAGGTTATATCACGATTTTTTCCTTCACACTTAAAGCAAGTAATAAATAAATAGAACTAAATGTGATATTAGAACGAAATGCGCTTTCCTTTTTCACTTTTGAAAAAGAAAATTACATAAACAAAACCACATGTTATTGTTAGTTTTAATATTTCTCCGTGTGAATTAAATTGCTTAAACTCATAATAAACGTCTTCCTGTATTTTCATTACAATAAATAAATACATCATCAATAAAATTGAAGAGACCGCTGTGCAAGGTCACTTCGAACATCATCGTTTTGTCTCGTCCGTCAATCAGACTTGCGTAGCCATGGCAACCGTTTCGTAGTGACCGTTATTCCAAATGATGTAGTCTTAACATGAAATATTTGCTTGTTTTATTAAAATATTTGTTATTTTGTCGATATAGTAGTTAACTAAAGTTTATTTCGTTCTTGTTTACGGTCACAACCTCATAGTATTATAAAAAGTAAACGATAGGAAGTTTCTTAATCGAATTAAGATTTATTGAAAATAAAGGGTGAAACCCAAACAAAGAAATTGAAGTAACGAGGCACTTCATTACACGGGAACAAATAAAACAAATATGAATAAAATTATATGCACAGAAGTGAAAATAACACAAGGTTATTTATTCCATGGAATAACATTTTCATACGACGATTATCTGTGGTTCCTTTCTTCATCTTTTAACCGAATACAAAAAAAGAGGTTCTCAATTCGACTATGGTTTGCTTTTTGTGTGTATATTATGCGATGACTCCGACATCTGTGAACCGATTTTGATGTTTCTTTTTTGCTGGAAAGGGGGCACCGCAGGTCAAGTTCATATTTGAAGAAAATATTCCACCTTTAAAGGTGGTAAATTAGGGAATGAATCCGATTTATTGGATTGCATCCTCTTTCCGTTCCGGCAAATAGATGCAATTTCACATATTATATCATATTTGCAAGTTGATAAGAATTTGCGAGGAAAATCTTTAGTGCGTCATAGACGAAAATGTTTACCAACAGTCGGTTATATATGAGACAAGTTTGATGTCATTACCTATATCGAAGGATATATTCCGATCAAGCGTCTGCGCTTTATTCTAAAACCAGACGGCAACATGGCGTCAAAAATAAACAAAGATCCGTCAAGAATAGAACGAGAAATACCCTTGAACCCGTTAATTTTGGAATAAATTCTGTGTTCTGTACTGTAATTATTTCAACTCGTGCATTCACGTCACATTGCTAAGGACGAGTTTGAGGGAAGTAATCATCTACATCTAGGTCTACGACGTCGGTCTAATTTTTATAGGAAACTTCATCTTTCCGATGTCTTTTTGTACACTCTTGTAGCAGTCACCAGATGCACGAGTCCTCAGAGCACTCCTCATTATAATGACGGTAGAAGATACACAGAGAGCCATGGTCTTTTGGTAGACTAAGGGGGACCAAACCGTCTGTGAATATGGGATCATCGACAATACGAATAGCCCTACCTCCACTTCTACCTTATACCACCACATAATAGATACACGTTCGGCCACGGTTGATGGTACACAAGTGGCCAAAAAATGCCTGTTCACTCTAATCTTGAATAACTCTAAATTGTACTATTCAGGAAGCACAAATGCCGGTAGTGTATTTTATTCCTTTGCGGCGGATTTCCTACAAAGAGGAAACATAGCGCTTTGTCCAAATGAATGGAAAATCAACGACTTAAGGATGGTGTGTTCAGGACCGGATGAGGAACGGCCTTATTAGGAAAGAGGAAGCAAAGCGAAGTTTCTACTTCCAAAAATTGTAGTCGGTCGAAAGAAGAAGGTGACGTGATACTATGATCCTGTGCACACTGTGAAATGTATCTGACATATTACACTCTTCATCGACTTGAGGAATACCCCAGAATAAACCAATTCAGCAGCATTGTGCTTCTGTATATTACACTTAAAATTCATCAGGCAAAAGTCGCTCAGCGAGCTGTGAAAGAGCTATGTTAGGAGTTTCAAGAACACGATGCGAAAAAGCGATGATGAAGCTCATATGACAGCTATGTTATCGAATTTTGACATTACTTTCATAGTAAAACTGACACGTGTAGTACGTATGAAATCGGATGTCACGTAGTATTGCATTTCGTAGTAGATCTCGAGGTTATCCGACAGAGAACCAACGTCGTCGACATAGCTGGTAAAATAAGCAAGCTGAAGTGGCAGTGACCTAGACATATCTGTTGAAGAATCGATAACCGATGAGGGAAGTGAGTTCTTAAGTGGAGACCAGGTACGTAGACCAGGAGACGTAGTGTATGCCAGATGGAGTGACGACCTGCGAAAGGCTGCTGGCAGCAGATGGTTGCGACAGACTGAAGACCAGGCCAAATAGCGTACATTGTGAGAGGCCTATGATGATGAACCAAAGAGCAAGGCTTTTAAAACGGGATTTTTTTTAAATGACGTCTAATTTAGTTGCTTCGTCAGGAAATGCGCGCTAATGACTTCACAGGCCTTCCAAGTATTTGAACCTATGCCGACATCGTGCACGTGATTTGGAATAACGTTTATAATTTGTGATTAATTTTATTTCGAACTTTATTTTTAAAGATGGCCGTTGTGCTCCAGAATCTTGCGTAGATAAAAGACTTGATGTTCAGTTAAAAACTGGCTAACTTTAGGGACCACAAATCATGATACTTGTTTATTATATAATACATAAAATATTATATAGTAGTACTTTAAACATATTATTTACCTAGTCAGCACATGGATTCGTTAGTTTAAATTACGCAGCATGATTGTACAGCCTGAGCATGGTTTGTATACGTTTGTACAGAGACGTTTACGGCATCACAAAGCTACAGCTGTTGCGTCGTAGAGGCAATTATACAAACACCACTGTCGTAGGCGTCACTGTGTGAAAAACGCTTTACTCTTTAAATTTTAAATTATTTCTTAGTTTCTTTACAATTTCATAAAGCCTGTGATTCTTAAGACGGTAGGTAATAATGTAGCTATGATTTATTTGAATCATAAACTAAAACGATGTTTCTAAAACTGACTATGCGATCACTTTAGACGTAATTACGTCTGAACTACACGCGTAGACAGCGTCAAGACAAAGATGAAACAAAGAAGTTTGACTGTAACTGTATGATGATCACCTGGCGGTTTTTGTTATATTCTGTAAGTAAAACAAAATGTGACCAACCGTTTTTTTGTTTGACATAATATGCTTCAACCGTCTTACGACCAACAACCCCCTTCCAGAGGCTTTATACTAATAACGAAATTGTTTTTTATCGACATGTTAAGTAGAAGAACGTAAAATACTACACACTTACCTTTCTTTATTTGCAGCACCGAAAAAATCCACCAGAGCTTGCTCCAACACACACTCCTTTGTCTCGAAAAAAGTTCGCGACTTTTTCCCGCGCTTTATAACCTCAAAAATATTATTAATATGTAAAAATATAACAAAATATTGAGGGAATAATTATGTTTTATCTATTCTGCAACACAAATTAGACGTGTGGTCAACTCTCTGGTCAGCTTCAGACTGTTTTTGTTCGCAGTCGCGTGGTTTTGCGAGGCGTTGGACACTTGCCAAAATGGCCGACGGCCAAATACGAAATAAGTACGTTCAAGCAATAAGGTGAAACGCCGTGTTGTTGACCGTGTATTAAACAAAGGTGTAAATTTATTACGTTTTTGTTTCTACGCTTTGTTTACTGCTGAAGATTCAGTATTTTTTGTCAATGGAATTAATTTAATCAAAAATACGATTCAGTGTTTTTTTTATTGCAAATAAGAATAACAACTCGATGTCAGCGTGAATATAGTATATAGTCTGCATATTTGAAGAATTGACAGATCGTTAAGCAATAAGAAATAACTTAAACTTACTTGGGTATGAAATAAAAGATGAACATGGCTACTTTTTTGAATATAGGGAAATACCCTTATTACATTTAGTTAGAAAGGGTTTTTCAAAGTAAACGTTGCTCGTTTTTAATATTTTGCTTTTCAACCGACTTCAAAAAGGAAAAGGTTTTCAATTCGACTTTTGTTTCATGCGCATGTTACGTGATTACTTAGATATTTGTGAACCGATTTCAAAGATGCGAAGATTTTTTGGAAAGAACCCCCTTTAACGTCCATAACACACATACACAAAAAAACAAAAAAAATGCAATCGAATTGACAACCTTTTCCTTTTTATGAAGTCGTTTAAAAATGACACAAAGATGTCTATGTACTAATTCCATCCAAAATAACGACTAGAAGAAAATATTCCACCTGTAAAAATGTAGGCAAACTTTAGATGTTGTTTTTTTGTGACAATGTTAGCATGTTGTCCACGCAGGATTTGATATTGTTTACAATTTCTTTTCTTCCACGTGTAGTAAATTTCTTAATTCTATGGATTGCTCAATGAAGGTCTTTCCATAGGTTGCTTTCTTATAATTTTCTTCCTTGCGTTTTACTCTTACATTGGAGTCTAGACTAGACACATGTGACGAAAGTCACGTGAGTGAAGTATAGAAAGTGCCGTGATCTGCGTAAAATAGGCGCGGCATATATTTTCTAGATGTTTAAAAAACACTAAATATCTTTTAACCTTTGCACCTATTACTTTACATTAAATATGTTCGTTATTTCTGAAAATTTCAGTTGTGTCAGGATAGAGTACTGAGGCGTTCCGTGGTCTCTGCCTACCCCTCCTGTGGTACTAGGGCATGAGCTTATGTATGTATGTACTACATCTTTATAAGGAAGGTCTACTGCTGTAGTCGGTAACAAGGCCTTTATTTAACGTGGTTTAGTTTAGAAAAAAGCAATATCTTCTAACGTTGTTTATAAATTCATACCATCATATAGTACCATCTATAGTTTTTTTTTTGTCGTCTTCACTGGCAAAGAAAAAGCAGAACCTTTATTTAGTCAGAGGATAATTTGATATGAACGACTTGATTTATTTTTTGGTATAACCTTATATAGATAGAGCTGTAACCAAGGAATGTTTTATTTTGATTTTAGCTTCCTATTTTCCAGTAAAATAGACTATTTTTCACACCTTTAGTGTAATAAAGCCCAACGCGTATTTTTCTAAAAAATAAGTATATTCCTCTTATGTGAAAATACTAAACCTCATTTTATGTATATGTGCAAAGTTGAAAACATTTAATACCTTTTATTTATCTTATGATGTTTATTTTCTTGCGGGTCTTAATATCCCAATATTGCTTAATAAGGCCCAAAGTGATTAACGTTTTTTACACTACCTTATAATTTAGTTGGTACTGCTACAAACAATAATCAACTTAATAAAGAATATAAGAGTATAGAGTTCTTAGATTTTCGCGATTGTTACACATAGGAAATTTTATATCATAGTAGGTATTTACAAAACACTTAAAGATAAAATATTTACTCACTTAAAGAAAAATATAGTACTAGACCAGCGTTTCCCATTTGGTGGGTCGCCGCCCGGTACTGGGCCATAAAAAAAAAACCGGGTCGCGACATTCCGCCTTGTTGAAGTGGAACTAGACCTTTATTAGCAGCAGCCCCATACTTCGCCCTAAATAGGCGATACCGAATAAATATTAGTAAAGCATTTTTACTAACAATAAATGTATATTATTTTAATTAATGTAAGCAGTTTGGGCTTAAAACTATTGAGTGGGTCACGAAGAAGCAATATGAAAATTACCGGGCCATAGTAGAACAATGCTTCGGAACCACTGATTTAGACAGTTCTTATAAAAATTTTAATACTGGAAAGTTTATAAGTATAAACCTTCCCCGAGAGCTGCTCCTTGGAGCTTCGTGCCCAGAAAGCTGGCAACATTTCCACTCTGAACAGCTAAGCTTATTTTTTGGCGGAAATAGCTGTCAGGCTTATGGTCATCGGAGGCTTCTACGAGGCGATCTAACAGTTCGTTCGTTTTTGGCAGCAGTAGATCTCGTTGTGAAAGATTTCGTCTAGGGAGCAGCAGACTTGTGTGCGTCGTGTTTCACTTCAATTCGACCAGTTTAACTTGAACTTTGCTATAATGGACGACATATTTAATTACCGACGAAATATGATTCCGTTTGTTTTGTAATTAGATGTTTTGCTGTTTTTCCCACACCACCGAATGGAACAGCCCCACATAGTTAGAGATATTATCTTTATTACAATAAATACGGAGATTCAACTATACAGAGACGTACACACAGGTCAGTTGTTGGCGCTGTACAATTTCAGCTTTCAAATTCATGATTTCAGCGCAAACGAGAGTTGATATTTAAAAGTGATATAAGGCCCATTTGCCTGATGAGTTGCCAGGGATGGATGGCCCTTATTTCGTCTCTATTTCTGGTTATACTTATACTCGATGCGGTGAGAGAAACAAACAAACAAATACTGTGAGGATTAATAAAATTGTATGTATGACTACAGTTTGTGCTGAAATGGCCCTGATTCAGCATAAATAGCCTTCCGTGTTGTCAACAATCCTCATATAACTGAGCATGCGGAGTCGTTACAGCTTCGCAGAGATATAGCGTCTCTTAGCGTATTCTATCGCCTGTACCACGGTGAGTGCTCTGAAGAGTTATTCAACCTTATCCCTTCCTCTCCTTTCCATCAGCGGACCACCCGTGCCGGACTGCGTTGCCACAGTTGGACGGTCAGTTCAATACCGTCCCGCACTAAAAAGTTTGGCAATTCGTTCTTATGCCGAACCATCAAATTGTGGAACCAACTCCCGGCGCATATATTCCCTCCCCTCTATAACATCGGGTCCTTCAAACGTAGTGTGAAGAAGCATTTGGCCAGACCGGCAAAATGATAGTGACGGAGTGAAGATATTTGTGTTTTCCATCCGTTACTCTCATCTCTGGACTGTATTCGCACTTTCCATCAGGCGCGGTGCAGTCATTTTGCCGAGTCACAATAAAAAAAAAAAAAAAAATACTGTAGACTGAGAGAAGTCAAACAGTGCTGGTTTTCTGCCAGTACCATATGGTGAGAGCGATTGCAACCCAGTAAACCATGCCACCGAAGTGCATCACACGCAATTACATAATATATCTAACTTTAAATATGCAGAAATTGGTTAATATGAGTAGCAGGTTTTTTAAGAACACTAGTAGCGTTTAAAATATTGGATGAATTTTTTTTTATACATGACAGGCAAATGACTCCACTCCACCTGATGTTAAGTGGAAAGCGGTATCCAAACGCGAAGGAACCTAGTGCAGCGATGAAACCCTCACTGCACTAGCCACCTACACTATGCCTCTTCACGCCTCGTTTGAAGGACCCCATATCATAAGAGGGAGGAAAGACATGTGCCAGAAGGGAGTTCCATTTGTCAACCGTGCGGCAGAGAAAGGAGCCACCGAACCTTTTAGTACGCGATGGAATGCGGCAGGTAGTGAAACGGTGACTACGAAGGCCAGCACGCGTGCTTCTGAGCAAGAACGGGGAAGGGGGGATGAGGTTGAACAGCTCTTCAGAGCACTCACCATGGTACATGCGGTAAAAGGCGCTAAGCGATGCAACAAAATTGGACTGAATTAAATTAAATTGAATTGAATGATTAGAATTTGAATTGAAGGAAATTGGTTTTGTTTTGAGTTTTACGAGAGGCGTCTTTGTCCTATATGCTGTATATGCTGGGTCCTGGCAGAATACCAGTGTCGCGCACAGAACAAATAAATAACGAGAACGGACACTCTCCGGCCCTCCCTAGCTTTAGATAGCGCACCACGCCCCGCACATTGCCGATCACATTGACTGAACGACAACAAGGCTGCCGGCGAGCCGTTTTCACGAGAAGACGGCTTTGATATTTGAATATAGTTTTCATTTATTCATTACGAAACTTGTACGTTAATATGTAACATTTTACGTTACTATTTATAATGGTCGTGAATTGTGCTGTGTTTAAATCATTATTTTCCGAAAGATGAAACGAAGTAAGTAAAAAAACTTATGTCTGAGACTCATTCAGTTATTGTATTCTTCATTTATTTACTGCAGAGTAATACATGTGTGTATAAAAAATACAGATTTATTATATCAATATAATGAGGCGCCATGACTTCGTGAGCTAGTAGGCAAGGCTTCTCGAATTTTCAATTCATATTGCTTATAAATATTACGTAAGTAGCGAATATATCTAATTATTAACTAAGTAATGATGATCAACTTGGACACGCAATTTCAAATACCTTGGTTACCTTATTTAAAAGTACATGTCCAAAATATAACATTTTAAGTGCTTTTAATATATTTTTTAAATAAATCTTCAATAGTACTCTAGCCAGGGAGATAATGAAAAATATGATATTATATCGTTATAAATACATAATAGACATGTGTAATTATTAGGATTCTGGATTCTATTAATAGAATCATGGATAATCGCGTTAGCATTTTCGCTATGTTGCCGCTCTGATCACGTGACGTAATAGTGCAAGACAGTGATGGGT